GCCTGACGCGGGGCTCGAACTCCCGGACCGCGAGATCGTGACCTGGCTGAAGTCGGACGCTTAACTGACTGCGCCACCCAGGCGCCCCTGAAACTTGATATTTTAAAACTTCATTGAGACAAAATATATACAGTATAGAAAAGTGCATATAAGTGTACAACTCAGTGAATTTTCACAAATTAAACATTACCGGGGTGCCTGGGTGGCTCAGTCGGGTGGGAGTCTGACTTCGGCTCAGGTCATGATCTCACAGTTCGTGGGTTCAAGCCCCACATTGGGCTCTGTGCTGACAGCTCAGAGCCTGGAGCCTGCTTTGAATTCTGTGTCTCCCTCTCTCTCTACCCCTCCCCTGCTCACACTCTGTCTGTCGGTCTGTCTGTCTCTCTCTCAAAAAAAAAAAAAAAAAAAAAAAAAAACATTAAAAAAAAAAATTAAACATTACCTATGTAACTAGTTCCCAGATCAAGAAACACTACCAGCCCTCTTGAAGCCCATCTGATCAATTTGTCCATGATACTGGATAAGTAAGTAATTAGTAGTGGCAGAGTTAGAACTTGATTGTTGTATCTTGAAGATGAATGAAGAGTATTATTAATGGTTTCAACTTTGGTGGCTTTTTTGAGAACTTGGGTGATTTAAGTGATTTGGGTTATTCTTTTGCTATAAAGTTTACTGGTCTAAATATTTATTGAGGACTTTGCTATGTGTGCCTTACTGTGCATAATTGGGAAGGGAGACAAAGGCAAATGTAATACAAGTTCTGAGTTACAGTCTAAAGTAGGAAGACAAATCACATATTAGACAACAGAATAAGTATTGTATTGGGGCGCCTGGGTGGCTCAGTTGGTTGAGATTCCAGCTTCGGCTCAGGTCATGATCTTACGGTTTGTGAGTTCGAGCCCCAAGTCAGGCTCTGTGTTGACAGCTCAGAGCCTGGAGCCTGCTTTGGATTCTGTGTCTCCCTCTCTCTCTGTCCCTCCCCTGCTTGCTCGCATGCACGCTCTCTCCCTCTCTCTCAAAAGTAAACATTAAAAAAAATTTTTTTTTTAGGTATTAAATTGTGTAATAGTGATTGAGGAAAGGAATCATTGCTGACAGCATCAAAGAAGGCTCTACAAGGAAGGTGGAATTTGAACTTGAAGAATGGGTAGGATTTGAATGGCATGGTTATAACAGCACAAGTCATGTCATGGAAATAGAAATGGATGAACATGATAGACAGTGAGCAAACAGATTAGTTTGTCTGGTGTGGGGAAACATGCTAGGGAAAGGTAGGAAGTAAGTTTGATAGTGTAAGATAGGGCCAGATTATGGAATATGTAACAGCTATAGAGTGGAAATTTGGCTAGATGACATAGGTACCAGAGAGTCACATATAGCTTAGTGCATAGGAGTATTAGATTTGGAGCCAAAATGACTCAAATTCTTCCCCCCCCCCCCCCAAATTCTAATACTGACTCTTCCATTTACCAGCCATATGATTTAGAGAAGATCTTCAACCTCTCTGCACCTATAAAAATGGGGAAATTTTCATAGGCTTATTATGACAAAATAATAAATATAAATATATAGTTCTTGCCACAGGGCCTTGGCCCTAGTAAATGTGCAATAAATGTAACTTTCTGTGTTTTTAAAAAATTTTTTTTAATGTTTATTCATTTTTGAGAGACAGAGAAAGACAGGGTGTGAGTGGGGGCGGGGCACAGAGCAAGGGAGACACAGAATCTGAAGCAGGCTCCAGGCTCTGAGCTGTCAGCACATGGCTTGAACCCACAAACTGCAAGATCATGACCTGAGCTGAAGTCAGACTCTTAAACCAACTGAGCCACCCAGGCACCCCAATGTTTGTTTATTTTTAGGGGAGAGAGAGAGCACGCGCATGCGCCAAGGTGGGGGGAGGGGCAGAAAGAGAGGAAGACACAGGATTTGAAGCAGGCTCCAGGCTCTAAGCTGTCAGCACAGAGCCTGATGCGGGGCTTGACACTTAACCGACTGAGTTACCATGGTGCTCCTAACTTTGTGTTTTTTAAGAACAAATACTTGAAAGCAATGGTATGCAGAATGAGGAAGACTAGAAAGAAGTTATAGTTACCGCACAGACATGTTAAGGGTCTCTGTTAGGGTTATGGTAGTAAGATAGAGTACATTTGAGGGTCGTGAAAAGAAATTGGACTTGAATTCTTTAGAAGAAAATGTTTTGGGCTTCCCCAGTGATCTTTTATTAAATAGTTGTAATTCTTCTGTGGACTGTATAGTTACTTGGGCAAGGTGAATTTGACTTTTTAATTTAGTTAAGGTATTCGAAACTCCCTAAGAGTTCCACGTTTATATTATAGAAGAGGATATCAGAAATTTTATCGGAATTATCCACTTTCCAAGAACATTTGTGATAATAGTGGTGAGACTGGTATGTTTGGTTCCTTGTTTTTGATGTTTTGGCAAATTAATTGGTACATGTGTGTTCTTGGAACAATGTAAATTTTAGTTTCTAGTTTAGTCCTTAAAGAGAAAAAATTTTCCTTTATCGAGAAGGCTAGAATCTGAAGGAAGGTACTGACACAGAAGTTTCCCTTAGACATCAAGATTACCTTTATGGTTAGCTACTTTGAGCAGTAGTTTCTTATTCTTTAGTTATTTTAATATGGAAAATGCCAGGGAATTGCTAAATAATATGAATTAGAGAGCTCGTGAATTTTTGGTTTAAGTCAGGAGATGATAGGATGAGACTGGACTTACCGGCTGGCTAGCTAGCTAAGCTAGCAGACTTTAAAATCAAAAAGTTTCACATTTAGTTCTTTTCATATGAAACCTAATGAATGCTACTCTATGAAACATCAGTGAGGTTCCTCTATAAATCTGTTTTAAGCCAGTCTTTTAATTTGGGTTAGAAAGAAGAGCTGTCTTTAAAATGGGCATGTCTATACAGCTCCTTTTCCATCTTATAAGAAGACTGAGGTTATAGATATGAAATGCTTTGAACTCCAAATTAAGAAAGGACTACTTAGGGGCGCCTGGGTGGCTCAATCAGTCAAGTGTCCCAGGTCATGATCTCATACCCTGTGAGTTCCAACCCTACATGGGGCTCTGTGCTGACAGCTCAGAGCCTGGAGCCTGCTTTGGATTCTGTCTCTCTCAAATATAAACAAACATTGAAAAAGAAAGGGCTACGTAAATTGCAAATACCTTTTGTTGTCTTTTAAAAACTATAGTACTACTTTGGGGAACTAAGTGGGATTGTAGAGTATGATGTAAATATTTAACATTAGTTGCAAGAATTCTGTGGACAAAAATGACAATATAGGTAATAGCTTACTTTCCCTGATCCCCATTTTCTTTTTCTTTTTTCTTTCTTTTTTAAAAAGATGTTTTATGGGTTTTTTTAAGTTTATTTATTTATTTTGAGAGACAGAGCAAGCGGGGGAGGGTCAGAGAGAGTTCCAAGCAGGCTCTATGCTTCAGCACAGAGCCTGACGGAGGGCTAGAACTCACAAACCACGAGTTCATGACCTGAGCTGAAACCAAGAGTTGGACACCCAACCAACTGAGCCACCCAGTTGCCCCAATGTTTTATTTATTTTTGAGAGACAGAGCACGAGTGGGGAGGGACAGAGAGAGGGGGACAGAGGATCTGAAGTGGGCTCTGCACTGACAGCAGAGAGCCCCATGCGGGGTTCGAACTCCCCAGCCGTGAGATCTCATGACCGTGAGATCATGACTTGAGCAAAATCAAGAGTTGGACACTTAACTGACTGAGCCACCCAGGTTCCCCTCTATTTTACTTTTATTTAATTTTTTAATGTTTATTTGTTTTTGAGAGACAGAGAGAGAGAGAGAGCCAGAACGTTAACGGGGGAGGGCAGAGAGGGAGGGAGACACAGAATCTGAAGTAGGCTCCAGGCTCTGAGCAAGCGGCGTAGAGCCTGACGTGGGGCTCGACCTCAGGAGCCATGAGATCATGACCTGAGCCAAAGTTGGACACTTAACCGACTGAGCCACCCAGGCGCCCCTATTTTTCTTAAATGAGTCCCATGCACTGCTCCACCACTACACCTAAGAAAATATTCTACAGTCTTTGACATATTCCATCCCAGCTGTGTTATGCCCCTAACGTTGGCATTAGTGATTGAAGTGTTGATGCAGCCTGCCAGTTATGCAGCGACCTGGCGGTTGCTGAGAGTTTTTTCTGAGATTTGGCATATGGCTTGAACAAGACTTAGATACTTGTTGCCTGATTGTAATGAAACCTGCTAAAGGAATGGTTAGCTTGGATTTAATTGGATGTAGATGTTTTATATCTGAACTGGATTCGAGCCAACTGTATGTTTTGGTGTGTGTGTGTGTTTGCAGATTATTTGATGTATTCCTTCTCCTACCCCCACCAATTTCGAGATTACTACCTTCCCGATATGCCCCCTCCCCTCTTAATTTCTGCGTCACAGGAAGCAGGAGTTTCAGACAGGGTGGATTGATGTTTGCAGCTGATCTGATATGCAACCTAAATCTATCCACGGTGTGAAGTTGATTAGCCTGAGAAAAGAAGGGCGAGGCAGAGGCCCCAGGAGCATCTTTTTACTGTCGGGTGTCATCTGGTGGCTATTGCTGTGGAAGTCTGAGGCACTCTGGGAGTTATTGCCTGGATAGGGGCCACTCTAGCACCCAGGCAGAGAGTGGGCTGGGGAGCGATAGAAGGGGCGCAGCATCACTTGGCCCAGCTGTGGTATGCTTGCCTCCCGGCTTTGGGGTGGTAGTCAGGAGAGATCGGGGCAGCTCTAACAAAGAGGAGCCGCGCAGGGGCCGGGGCCACGGGTAGCTGGCCTATCCCCGGCGGCTGACCTCCCAGTGGGCCTCCCCAGTTGGCTGCTTGGCGGGTCGCTCTCCTGGCTCCCTGGCTTGCCATTGGCTGTGCGGGCAGGAGGGGGTTTGCGGAGGGCCGGGATGGAGTTGAGGGGGCGGGGCTGGCTTCCGGCAGCAAAGGGTAGCAAGCGGCTGCCGGCTGGGGGAGGGGGTGTCGGCGCACCGCGGGGTGCTGTGCTCCAAGAGCCTGGCACTCGGAGCTGCCACTTCCCCCTCCCCCAGCCAAGACAGCTGTAAGCCCCTTCTCATCCCTCCTGCCCGGGCGGGGCGAGGAGGGTTCAGCTGCCCCAGGCGGGCGGGGCGGAGCCTGGAGCCCCACCGAGCGAGCGCTGCGGAGCGATCCTCACCTCCCTTCAAGGGCTCAAGGTGTGTGTGCGTGTGCGTGTGTGTGCTTTTTCTAATGCAGCCCCGACTTCAGCCGACTTAACCTTGTGAGGAAAGGGGAAATGGAATGGGAAGTAAGAGCTCTACATCCCATCAGTTTATTTTGATTTTCTGATTCTACCCTTCATTCTTCTTTCCCTCCCATCATCTCACCCCTGCAGCAGGGTAAGGAGATTCAGGACTCTTATCTTTTTTTACTGATACATCGATGTCGGTCTCTTATGAAGTAAAATGAACAGAAGAAAAGAGGAGCTCTTTCTTGCGTGGCATCTAATGCAGTAAACCGCAAAGAAAGAACGAAAGAAAAAGAAAGGAGAAAGAAAGAGAGAGAGAGAAAGAAAGGAAAGAAAAGAAAGAAAAGAAAGAAAGAAAAAGAAAAAGAAGAAAAAAGAAGGCTAGGAATGGGTTTTTGGTACTGTACTGCATCCATGTCCATTAAGGCTGTCTTCACCATTTTCCTACTTGGGACTGCCTTATTCAGCAAAAACAATCTGAAAAAGGAGATGCTAGTGGAAAGAGGGAGCAGCCCATGTCAAACGGTGGTTAAAGGAAATCCTAATAGTTGTTAGCGATTAACTCTGTTAAAGTCTTCTCCTGAGTACCTTGTCACCTGCTTTGTTTAGTACTCAGCCCTACTGGAGAAATCTATCAAACGAGCAAACTTACCTTACTGTTACTGAAACCTAAAAGTCTTGTCTGTTTCTCCATCAGTTTATTTCTTATATCCATATGTTCAGAGAGGTTAGTTTCTGTCATGAACGACAGAACCAAACTTTAAAAAAATCCAGGTGAATTTTGTTCAATTATCTTTTAAAGTTTCCTCCCTCCCAAACTTTATGAAATTGGGTGGCTGTAGCATTAACAATTTAAATTATATTTATTTCTTTTGAGTTCTTTTACTTCTACAATTTATAGATCTCTTCTTTCTGAAGGACACAGAGCTTATCTTCAGCCAAAATCAGAAGCCTCTGTATTAAGTTTTTAATTGAGTGGAAAGTTATCAATTGAAGATAGAAAACCCAAATTTTATGTGTTAGAAACAAATGGTGTGTGTGTGTCTGTCTGTCTTTCTGTGGTGAGTGGCAGTGTTCGTGATAAACTTGCTTAATCTAACTGGGGATTTTCACCAAAGGTGTTTGGACCAGATTTATCTTAATGTTGCTTAGCAAAGAATTAGAATACCAGACGGGATGAATATCAATTTTTGGCAGCATTCTTTGCTAAATATTAATTGAAATGATTGAGAGATTCTTATAATCCAGGTTCAGTTTCCACAGATTGTTCTAACTGGAATTCAGTTTTGAAGACAGAATTGATATGCTGGAGCTGTCTTATAGTTTTAATTGGATCAGTGTTTTTTCTTTGCATTGACCTATTGGATCTCTAATAAGGGGCAGTTTGTGGTGAAAGCCAAGTATTATGAGGAAGAAGTGTAATAGGATAGGCAACCATCTTAGTTGTAGAAGCTTACTAGGGATTAGGAGTCTGTCTCTCTGTTTATCTGTCTATCTATCTATCTATCTATCTATCTATGTGTCTGTCTACCTTTTACATTTCAAGTAGCCTTGCTATAGAATTATACAAAAAAGGGGCACCAAGCTGGCTAAGTCAGTGGAGCATGCAACTCTTGATCTCGTGGTTGTAAGTTCGAGCCCCATGTTGGGTGTAAAGATTACTTTAAAAAAAATCTTTAAAAAGAATTGTGCAAAAAAAGTAGACTCATAGTAAACCTTTGTTGGATTTGGGTTGTCTTATTACTCATCTATCCAGTACAACTCCATAATGTTTAAATTGAAAGGCCCCAGATGTTTTTAGGTTTTTTTTTAACCTAACTTGTTCCTGAGAATGAACTATTAAAAATCATCGAAGCTTTGACAGCTAGCTGTTGTGTAAAACAACGTGCACTTTGATGTCTAAGCTAGCAAACTGAGGAAGTAACAAAAAAAATATTTGGAGGCTATATAAAAGCATGTATCACTTCATCTTGATTCTACTAAAAAATAAGTTGCCGGCCCATTTGGAATCCTAGGTGGTTTTTTGTCTACCCATGAGTAGACAGTTAATATAGCTTTGTAAAGTTATATTACACTTTGTTCACTTAATATTTTTATATATCTATTTTCTTGCCTGATTTGTGTAATCAATATTTTGCATGGTACAGTGATTTCCCCAGAGAATTTCCCCCAGGAGCAAAGGCTATGTATAGAACTAATCATAGGTGTATTTACACTGATCTCCAAATATCATTTAAAGGGGCTGGAACTCCTCAAATTTGGTCCTCTGCAAGGAAACCATTATATGAAGCCATGACTTCCCATAATCTCTTAGTTGAAGGGACATGGTGCTGCTGAAGTTAAAGTAGCTGATTTAATTTTCTTTAGCAATCTGTTTTTATCCATCCTGATTATTTCTGTGAGTCACAGCTTAGGATGTGTTAAGAAAAAGGGCCCTGTGTTCTCTCTAAAGGGAGATTCAAGCCCAATCCCCCATTCACATCAGAAGTATAAAATGATCCCCTTGAGAAGGTAAAGGAAAAGATTGGACCCTTGGCGTTGATTCTCATAATAATCAGCTTGAGTGTTGTACGGTTTGGAATTGGGAAAAGGTTGCTTAAGATGAGAAAATATTAGAAGCAAAAAGAACTGGGAATGCTGTTATGTGAGAGACGTATTTAGAGACAATGAATGCATTCATATGGAGATGTGACTGGTGGTAGTTTTTAAGCTATTCAGCTTTGTCAGGTGTCTGAGACAATATTATGTGTGTTTTTAAACCCAACCCCCTCCCCCAGGGGTTGACTCTTGGAAGCTGAATCTTTTGAGGAAGTTGTTTGCTGTAAGTCTGAATACAGAGGGTAGAGGACTTGGTAGAGTCTGTTATCTGTTCAGATAAAGACGTGGAATCGATTGTTGGTGAGTTACTGAACTCTTCCTAATGAATGGTTGCTAGGCAAAATGCATCTCAATCAGTTTAATCCACAGTAGTTTACAGGTCTGCTCTCAGTGAGGGCCAGAGCTGCCTTTCTAATGATACTGCCCTTTAAGAATCCTGTTACATTTGCATATATGTTGCTCCATGGCTCACCAGAAAAAAAGGGGGGGCGGGGGGAGGCTAGAATGACAAATGGATCTCACTTCATCCATCTAAGAGAATTAGCTTTTGGTAACATTGGGTCAGCATTGTCATTAACTTCTCTCCTGGATCAAGTGGTGGGTAGGGTTGCTCTTCAGTAGTAGGATACCATTTTGTTTGATTATCTTTGGTTTTGTAACTAGTTACGCAGTGAACTAATAATACATTCATTTTGGAAACAGGCCAGTGATAACACTGCCCTTGGGCCTGGATGGATGGAAAATAGGACAGAGTAAACAATTGAGGGCATAAATAATGAATCTTCCAACTGAGCCCTGGGAGAGTGAAGGAGATTATCCTCAGAGCTGTTCAATCTGTCAGTGAAAGGGGAAAAGTCCACTGAATTAATTACCCTATGTTTGATACTGCACTTATTATGGGATTGTTAGAGCTATTCAAAACAGTTGCCTTTTCTTTAGATATAAACTTCTAACCCATCTTTTTGTTGTTGTTTTTTAAACCACTCAGATTGCTCATCTTTTTAGAATCCAGGTCTTTGCTCCTTCCCCCAACTTTGTTCTATATATTAGCATTCTGTGAATACTGGACAGTCCTCCTTTTATTTAGCTGGATCTTAGAATTTTACTTAATGGGAGTTTTCATTATCTGTAAATACATATGGTGATAGAAGAAAATGGAGAAAGTCTGTGCGTGGTTTTAAAGAAATTCTTTGGTACCTTTAGTATATATTATATTTTGAAATTAAACGTGGAGTTGTAGGGTGTAATTATATAACAACTCACAAAAGGTTAAGACCAGAGTTTCTTCAGCCCAAGAATCATTTCCAGCATTAACATAAATATTTTTACTTTTTAGATTAGTTTTCATTCAGTGAATTAAATAAGCAGTCTCTTAGTGGTCTCAGCATTTCTCTGAGGTAGAAAAAATAATGTCCTGAGAATGTCTAAATAACTTAGTGATTTGGTAGTAAAGCTAGACCCAGAGCGAAGGTCTCTGAATACTTGAATTTGTTTTTTTAAGTAAGCTCTGTGCCCAAGGTGGGGCTTGAACTTACTACCCTGAGATCAAGAATCACATGCTCTACTGACTGAGCCAGCCAGGTGCTCTGTATTTCTAATATATTTAATTATTTTCTCTAAGAACTCCTTTGAGGATCCTTATTTGAAATGACTTGAAATTTTCCTGTTTCTGCTGTGAGAGACTGTTTTTATTTCTCTAGTCATGAAGGGAATCCAAAGACCAAGATGCCACTATCAATCAAGAGAAGGAGGAAGGTTCAGGATGAGGTGGTAGAGGAAAAAAAAGATAGAACCGTAAAGGAAAGGCCAAACTGAAGTTTTATTATATTTGGTGCTGATGGATCTGAGGGAGGGAGCATTGAGCTGATTAGATCAAATTCAGTCATCGGCTGAGTTGTTACATCTCAACCTAGCTGAAAAGGGCAGAGGCGTCTTTACCAACACATGGGCAGTACTGTAGTTAAGGATTCATTCCTGATCCAAAGAACACAGTCAGTTCTTGATTATTCATGTAGAAGGGCAAGCAGACAAAGTACAGACAGGTAAAATCCAAAGATATTCCTAGCAATAGCTTTAGTAACTTCTTCTGCTTTGTAACTGGGATTTTCTAGTGGAACAAACTGAGTATTAGAGATTTATTTTCTTTCTCTGGTCATTCAGGAGACCAGTAAGATTGGATTAAACTAAGAGACCAACAAGCTTGGATTAAACTAACTTTCTTTCTTTCTTTCTTTCTTTCTTTCTTTCTTTCTTCCTTTCTTTTTTATTTTTTTAAATATTGATTTATTTTTGAGAGACAGAGCACAAGCCAGGGTGGAGTGTAGAGAGAGGGAGACACACAATCCAAAGCAGGCTCCAGACTCTGAGCTG